ATTTATTCCTAAGGAATCTAATAGAGACCTAAAATAAATGCTGAAAAACTCTGACAAATAACTTGGAACTTGTCGTGTTCAAAATCATAATAATAATAATAATAATAAATGTTTTTTTTTTCTTTCTAAATTCATTTAATATGATTAAACAATTTTAATTTCACTATATTGCAATCCTTATTAAATAAACGCACTGATAAATTATTAAAAAAATGCAAATTAAAAAATTTAAAGGTAATTTGCTTAAACTTAATTCAGATGTTTACTTTTCCTCTAATTATTTTCTTTTGTTAAAAAAGACCGAGAGAAACAAAAAGATGAAATAAATTAATATGATTCAATACCCCTTTCACACAAAGAAAGTGTACTTAATTTTCAATTATTCACCTCAGTTTTTTAATTCGATTTTTTTCATAATTTTATCGAAAATTTTTTTTTGTGACATATTGATTTTAACGAACCCCACTTGAAATTTTAAATTGTGTAATGTGTCTCATTTCATTATAAAATCACTTTTAAAATAATTTTATTTAATTCGTTGACAGAAAAACTAAAAACATAAATTTTTAAAACATCCAACAAACCATAACGACATAATTAAACAAATTTAAAAAATAATAAAAGTAACCCCCCTTTTATTTAAACTTCTTCAATAATGATATTTTAAACACAAATTTTTCAATATAAAGGAAATAAAACTCCAAAATTTAAATTAATTAAAATTTGTTTGAATAAGTAATGCTTTGACTAAATAAAAAAAATATGGCTTTTATGATTGTCATGTAAACGAGGAAACACACTTAAAACAATCTTAATATAATGCCTGAATTTAATAATGAATAAATTTATAATTATATATATATATATTACTTATTATATATTATATATTATTATTATTAATATATATATATATATATATATATATATATATATATATATATATATATATAAGTATTAAAAACAATCTAATATTAATAATTTAAAAAAGCTGAACTTCTTTAACTAATCCAAAAAATAAAAATAAAAAATACCTTTTTAAAAATAATTTATATAAAAATATAAAAACACGATTTAATAATAATAACTTTTTTTTGGCTAAATTTGAAAATAAAATAAAAATCGTTGAAAACAGAAATACTTGGTACTTTAAAAAACAACAAAAATTGCCAGAATACGTAAGCAAATTAAATTACGTTTTTTTATTTCGACAACTTTTTAGAATCATTCTAATGATCATTTAGATATTATTATCTATTATTATTATTAATGAAAAAAGATAATCGGAATACTAATTATTACAAAAAATTTTGATTAATAAAATAAATAGATAATATTGCAAATCACCTAAATATTCATTAAAAAAGATTCTAAATTTTATTTAATAATAAATTAGATGATGTAATTTTCATGCTTAAGGTTTGAATTTATCAAAAGAGTTTAATAATACCTCGTATTTAACCAATATTACTAATAAGTAAGAAGTTGTAAAATTTATGAAAGTAAATCGTACTCAATATAAATACTTTGTAGATTACAACAAAAAAAAAAAAAAAAAAATGAAAAATTAAAAACTTTAAGTCGGCGTAAATCCAAAAAAGAACTCACTTATATTCAATAATTTTTTCGCTCTAAATTCCGTTTCTTTGTTGCACAAACACATGAAGTTAATATATCAAAATTATTCAAGTGTCATAACAATAAAAAAATATAAATAAAAAATAATGGACACGTGTAACTCTAACTCGGCCATGTATACTGTTCACTGCACAACACTGTAAACTATTGTGGGCTGGAAATAAGACGACCGATAATCAGTAAATTTTATATTGGTAGCACTGATTTTTTTTTTTTTTTTCCAATGTTAAGTTGTCAGTAATCATCGTGCACTATCGGATTTACGTTCTACAAAAGTTTATTTTGAAAATAAAATAATAATAATAATAAGTTAAAATAAAAATATAAATAATTTAAATATGTAAATCATCAAATCCTTTGCTATAATGAATTATTTATAAATTTTAATGATAAAAAATTTATTTAAAATTTTTTTTATTTTTTTTTTTTCGATAATTAAAAGTAAACTGCTGTTGTTGCCAATAATACTAATTAGAAAAATTTCTGTTTCTTTAGGTTTACTAAATTTAAGTAGCGTTATTTTTTTTTTAAATTTAAAAGCTATGTTTTATATATATATAAAAATTATTTAATTTAAAAATATAAACGTAAGCAGTATTTTTATTTTTATTATTAATTTAAAATTGTTTTTATGATAGATTTTCATAATTTTATGTAATGGTTTTTGAAGATGTAACAAATTTCAATTTTTATTTTTAAATTATCTTTACACATTGTATATTTTAAAAACAATTGCTTTTACAATGAAAGGACCATTAAGGTCCTACAGTGAATCACCACAAGATAAAAATATCAATGGGGGAAAATTGTAAATAAAAAATTGGCAAAATAAATTATAAGAGAAATTAATGTTTTTAAAATATTTTAAAAAGTAATAATTTTAAATATTTAATTAATTTACTCATAAAATAATCAATATTTAAATTTAAATTTTTATACATAAATTTTTTACAATAAAAATTTAATAAATATTTTTAATTGTTTTTTTTTTTCTCAAACATTTTTCATACCTTATAAATAATTTTTTAATATCCTTCCTATTCATTTTGTATTTTATTTTGAAAAGCAAAAAATCACTTAATGCACTGCACTATTATTATTTAGAAATGACGCAACAAACTTCAGTTAACCATATACATTTTTCTGAGCTGAAATTGAAAATTTTAATATTTATTTATATTCCTGATATGCATGAATGTAAAATTAATTAAGCAAAATATAAAGTATACAAAAGAGAATATTTGAAAATTGTCTGTATGACTAAAAGAAATAAAGCGTACCTATGAGTAATATGACTTTCAAACACAATGTCTTCTTCTTTGCAATAATTTACATCCACACATTTGCATTTTTTTCCCAAGTTGGCTTTTGAGCTTTTTCTTTTGTTAAACTTTTTATTCTTATTAATATCCCAAAGTTCCTTTACATTTATGTGCAAATTCATAGTGTTGTTTATAACTGGAATGTTTGATGTCTCTTCCAAGTACCAATCATTTTCATCTAGTTTGTCAAGTATTGAAATACCTTAAAATAAAAATTTTTTAATCAAAAACATTGGGCAAATTTATTAAAAAGCCAAAACGTTTAGTCTCTCGATTATTTAATTAAAAATTTATTTACCAGAATTTTGAACGTCTTCATTCTCTGTTTGTTTTTTTCCTGCATTGTTTCCTAAAAACAAACCAAAATTTTCCTCTTCTTTTTTAAAATTATTGTGCGATTTTGAAAATTTGTCGTCGTTATAAATCGGGTTTGAAGTTTGGAAAACTTTTTTTTCATTAGAAAATTTTTTTACCGAAGATCCAAAGTTCGGAAAATTATTTTTTTTGTAAGAATTATCAGAACCTTTTGAATTTTTATAAAAATGATTTTTAAATTTATTATTATTTGCAAAAGGTTTTTGAGATGATGGTAAAATATTTGATTTTAAATTATTTTCATCGAAATTGTTTTTCGTTATAAAATTTTTACTTGAAAAATAATCAGTGTTTTCTAAATCATCATCCATTTGATTATCATAATCTTTTTCAGGCAAAATTATTAAACCACTCGTTTTATTATTGTTTTTATAAGCGTTTTTTTTCTTATTTGAAAATTTATTTATTTTTTCTTGCGGTAGATAATAATTATTAATTTCGCCAAGTTTTAAATCAAATTTATCATTTTTATTATAATCACTCAATAACGAGTTACTTCCACGATTTATGTTCCACTGTTTATGGTTTTGTGGCGATTGCCAAACATTGTTAAATTCTCCATTAGATTGAAACAAATTTAAAAAGAAATAAATAATAAATATTAGCAGATACATTTTACTTAATCGGCTCACTACTCACAATAAACTGAAATGTAAAATTATTAGCCACATTTCGTTCGGATGCGGTTGAATAAAGGTTACCACAATAAATTTTATTAATTTCATTTATAAAAATCCAAAAAGTGATAAAAGCTAAAACTAATAGAAAAAAATTTAAATTTCAATTCAATTTTATTTAACGCGTAGTTTATTTTAATGTCACTGAAAAGAAAATCGTTCTTGTTCACATAACATTAATAAATTTTTTTAAAATTCAATATTTTCAATTACTCTGCTTTCTAAGGAAGGCCTTTTTTTTTTATCAAATTCAAAAAAAAAAAAAAAAACAATTTCGAATGTTTGAAAAAGATTTAAATAAACCATCAAATCTGTAGTAAATTTGCACTTTTGAAAAAATAATTTCTAAAATTTTTATATCATTGAAAATTCGTAGAAAAAGTATTAAAAAGTAACCCTTTGTAAGGCAACAGTTCGACATATAAACATTAATAATAAAAATATTTTAGTGGTAAATTAAAACAAAAAAGGTTTTGTTAACAAAGACTGCGTTGAATTTTTCTTATCGTAAAACCACATATCCGGTTGCTTCGTACAGGAAAAGAAATATCCATGATATAATTTTTTTTAAAAAAAAAATTGTACAAACTATGTAATTTAATTAACATATTCAAGTAAATTAAAAATTGAAAGTATATAATAGTGCATAAAAACTAAAGTTTATCATATAATCATATAATTAATTAAAAAATACATAAAAATTCTATCAAACACAATAATTAAACTCCTATGTATTTTGATTTGTACCACAAATAATTTTTTTTTTTTTTTTTTTCTTATATCAGTGATTTGAAAGAAAATATTATTAAATAATTATGTATTTTTGCAACAAATAAAAGAAACTGATAAAAAATTACTAGTAAAAAAAAAAAAAAAAAAGCTTGCTCATAAAGCTAACGGCCCCCAGAAACCAAAGGCATTGGATAATTTTGAGAAGCAATTTATTTATTCTTTTAATATCTTTTTTAAAAAAAAATCTCATTACAGTTTTTCAATGCGGCTTCCAAGCATTGCTTCTCTTGTAATTCTGAAAAATCATGACATAATTATAATTTTATATATTTTCTATAAATTATTATTATTATATATTATTAGATTTTCATTAACTTACGGCAGACGGACGAAAAAATTCCCAAAGCCACATACATATTCTTTCGTACAATGTCATTGATTTTGGTTTTTTTAAAAATAAATCAAACGGTACAAAAGAATTTTTATGAAGGGTTAAAAAAGTTATACAACACAACATTCCACTTATTAAAAAAACTACATATAATATCCACTGACATTGCCTACCTTTGAATACTTCATGAATTTTTCCTGCATAAAAAACATTTAGATAAAGTAAAACAATACAATTTTTCATTTATCAATTTATTTGTTGTTTTTTTTTTTTAAAGTTTTATATCAAAAAAGAAATTTTAATAAATTGATTTGTACAATTCTAGTATTTATTTAATATAAATTTTAGATAAATAACTAAAAAATAAAAAAACTTACCCTTCATAAGACAATCCAAAGGCACTTCTTGATTTTTTTTCCCTTTTTTTTTTGTTGAAAATTTTTTAGCGACGGAAATTGAATAGTTAACTCCAGTATTTTGATCGGATTGTAAATAATTGTCTAAAAATATAAAAATAAATATTTATTAAGTAAATTTTGTTTTATGAACATAATATATATATATTTTAAAAATTTACCGTTTTTTTCTATTGATTCTCCACCTTCTTTAGGGTCATAGGTCAGTTTATTATGGGAATTTAAGTCATTGTGATTTTTTTCTTTATCAATTTTTTCTGATGAGGATAAAGTAACAAGTTTCGACATCAAAGCTGTTATTTCTTTATTTTTATCACAGTCTAATATTTTTTTGCACACAGCATATTTATCCAACTCTTTAACCAATTTCTTTCTCTTATTAATTTCACACAGCATCGAACTTATTTACAATTCGGGAAAAAATATATTAGCCATTTAACAGTTTATATTTTATCAAATATAATAATATTAATTTAGTTTTCAAAATCTTAAAATTATTTATATTCAACCTTGCTGTATCTTGATCTTTTGTTTGACCAATTACTGTGATAACACTTTGTTTTTTTTCTGTATTGGGTTTTTGATCTTGTATCCAAGTTTGAACATCATTTATTCTTGTTGTAGGTGTATGATTTGACAAGTCATTTGAACCATCATCTAATAAATCTTCTGAAACTAATGAAGTGTTTGCAGTATTAACTGTGCTGAAAATAAATGAGTTTTTTTAAAAAAAAAAAAAAAAAAAAAAACATTATATTATAAATATTTAATACAAGAAAATAATAATAATAAAAAAAAAAAAAAATTTTTAATATTTTTATAATTATGATAATTATTTTTGATAAATTATTTTAAAATTTTAAAATTTCATTTTTCTCTTTCTTCAATATCCTTTGTAGTACACTGCTATCAATTTAAAAAGTTTATTTATTTATATTAACTATGACAAAATGATTACAACAAAGGATTATTTGTCTTACACATTTTAAATGAACTGGTTTTTATTTTCTTTTTTTAAGTTGTATGTGATAAGATTATGGCATGTAAAAACCTAAAAACCCTTTATATGCACTGCAGCAACATTGTTCTTTTTTTAATTTTTTTTAGCAGATAATATACTAAAACTGATTCAGCAGTACAATATCACAAGGAACTCTCACAAAAATATTTCCTAATTACCTCAACAAATGGAACCATTCTGTTACAAATAATCATCAAAGATAAATTTCTGTTTGAATGGAATGAGAAAGAAACTATGCATATATGATTGCAGTATATATAACTATAAATATCTATAATGAATAAATGGCACATGTTTCTAAATTGTCACAAATAAATATACACATATGCATATATAGGAAATTATCAAACAATATCATAGTCTAAAACTGTACAAGAAGAATTGTGCACAACTAAAACTAAAAAAAAAGTTTTTATCAGACATATATTTGCAACTGTTAAATGAGATTTTATTATTGAGAAAATTGAGGTGGTTGGTTATTAATAATTAACAAAATAAATATGAAGATGTCTTAGCAAGTATTTTACTAGTCAATAAAACTTTATGGAACAAAAAAAAATGTCAGAAATAGTTTGTCAAAAAAAGTTAATTTTTCACACTTTAATTATACTCAGACTTTTACCAATAACCAACTAAATTAGATTATCAAAAAATTTTATAAAAAATGACACAAAATTTAAAAAGTATTAAACTGAAAAAATTAGAAATAATACCTTACCAACTACTCAAAGATCCATTCAATGTTGTACTCATTAAAAAATCATGGCTAAGTGTCAATTTATCTACAGCTAATGAATAATCTTGAGATGGGCCAACAACATCATTATTTTCAATTACATTTAAGTTTTCACAGTCTTTGGGTTCGAAATTATGCATCATTCTTGATTTAGTAGATTCTCTCTTGTCTATTGTGTTATCCAAAGCCTTATTAAACTTATCTTGAAGTATCGTCCAGGCTGCAAGCCCTGTTTTTTTTTCTTTTTTATCAAGAAGAGATGAGGAAAATTTCTTTGAAGATTTTTCATCAGTTCCTATACAAACATCACTTTGCAATCCATTTGAAATAACTCTGGAAAAATACATAAATATAAGTTATCAACTTGGTAAGGGCGAATAAATAAAAATAGAATACTTAAACATTATCATTCGAAAAAACATGCCTCTTAAAACGTGGGTCTGATCCGCCATTAATATTATTTTTATTTTTACTCATTATCGAGCTAGAAGATTTTGTTATGTTTTCTAAAGAATACTGTTGATAAGATAATTTTTTATTATCTGATATTGTTTTTGGATTTACACTACGCGTTTTAACAATTTGATCTCCCTCCTGTGTTTGATCCCTGTACATTCCACAATAAAGTATTTTAAAATTTCTAAAAAACTGAATAGGTCAAAACCCTATTTCAATAAAAATAAATAAATAAATTTAATATTTACCTAAACGGCCTTCCATTTTGACTCGGCGGTCTCGGACTGGAAAAATTACCGCCTGATGACCATTCATTCATTCCGAAGGTAAAACTAGCAAATTTAAATGAAAAAAATTAACTCACCTCCAAAATTATTTCAGAATAAAATTTCAAGTAAACAACTTAAGTAATGGATAATTACAAAAAATTACTAATTATTTGCACTTTTTTCATTTGTTTATACTGTGTTTTGTTTAATTTCGGGAGACGAACTATTTACACTTTATATTTTTTTTTTTTTGAAATATTTAGAGAAAACTTTTTTTCCCTCAAAATTTATTTTATTTCTTTTTTTTCGACTTAAAAAAAAAAAATCTATCTTAATCAAGATTTTTGTTTGTAACGATTTCGTATTCATTAAACAAATTTTTTTTTTTGAAATTATTAATATCTTTTTTCAAACATTTTAAAAATTTGAATGTTTTCCGGAAGGAAAAAAGTTACGTGGTCTTAGAAAAAGTACCGTGTAGATTATAAACATCGTACAGTTATTTTGATATGTTGTTTTCAATTGAAATTTTGTTTATCTGTTTTTTAATTATAGCAGTAAATTAGTGCGTAATTATGAAAAAGTATCAACAGCTTTTCTTAGCTATAGTATCCATTGTTAGTTTTGCGTGTTTATTAATATACAGACATGAATACAATAAGCTACGCTATGTTCTTGAAGTTTTGAGTTTTTTCGGAACTCCAGGGATGCCTGCCACCGTCTCTTCACCATGTACTACAACTAATAATAACTTTGAAAAATACACACTAAAGACAATGCCAACTTGGCAAAGTATAAGAGATTCTCTTTTTCTTTATTCCGCATTTTCAGAGTACGTTGATCACAATTTAAAAATTAAAGTTTATGCAGTAGGAATGTTGAATGCAAGTCTTGATTTTAAATGCTACCTGTGGTATGATCAAGGCTCCAAAATTCAAGAAGCACAATTTAATTTTTCTATTTTAGCATTGAAAAATCAAAATTCTGCTAATTTTGAAAATGCAAATAAAAATTTATCTGGTGCTTTTATTTTTCAATGTCATGCTAAAAATAATGGATTAAAAGTTTTAGGTGTTACCGTTTCCCATCAGCCAGTTAATGAAACATATCAAGGATTTATTCCTGTAATTAGCTCAAAATTAACTGATCCTCAAAAGAATTCAACTGGGATTTGTATAATGCCTGGACAAGTCTCCATGTTCAATGAATCTAATTTTTTTGAATTTATAAGCTTTCACAGCATTATAGGGATAAACAAATATGTTGTCTATGATAATGTGCTCTTTAACAGGCTATCATCGAATACTCTACAAAATCTGAAAAAAAACGCGGAAGTAATAATTTTACCATGGAATTACCCATATTCGAATGAAAAGAAGTTAATGGACATTGTCGCTGAACAAGATTGTTTATCTCGATTTAGGGGAGTATTTGAAAATATAATTATACTAGACTGGAATAAATTTTTAGTGCCTCATTATATACTCAATTTCAGTAAAATAATAAATGAGCTTGATATTGATAAAAAATCAAACAAGTTTTTATTTTCTACTCAGCTCTTTTGCTTAGAATATGAAGATAATGAAAATTTTAATGCATGGACACCTCTAATATTTAGAAAAACCATGTATTCATTACCTAAAATTGACATTCAAGTGCCACTTTATAAGCCTCATATTCGATCAAATCAAATTTACAGAGTAAGGAGAAATATGGTAGCTGTTCATCAATATTTAAATTGTCAAGGGTTAAAATTAAAAACAGGGAGCAAAAATTACAAACAAAATGATACAACTGTTTTTAATTACCAGGAATTCCTTAAAGATGTGAACACATTTAACAAAAAAAAAAATTTATGATTAAGATATGGGCATTTAGTAAATTTACAAAATTATATCATGGAGATATATACACAAGTATATATATATATATATATATATACATATATACCACATTAATGTGTTTAGAAAAGTTAATTATATCACAATGTAAGTTTCATACTTAATAATAGTTTATATTTAAACAAAAGTAAATAAGACTTCTTTTTTGTCAATTTTATGTCAACCATACCAGTTCTCGTCTTTTTCTGTTGTACACACTTGGATGTAATTTGTAACGTTTCGCAGCCGCACAGATATTGACCGTTTTATATTATTAGAAAAAAGTGTGTTACACAAATAAAGATATTAATTTTTAATTTAGAGAACAGGTTGATGAAAAACAAAAAAGGGCATTTTATGAAGTATATTTAATAGGGAGATCAATAGATATATGGCCAATGTTAAAATATCATTATCGAGGGAACGTGTGGGGGAAAAAAAAAAAAATTTTTAGATAAAGAGTGTTTTTTGCGTCCAAAAAAGAAAAATTGAACATATTTAATTTTTTTTTTTTTTTTTATATTATTCTAATTTTTAAAATTCTTGTTAACGAAATATTAATGTACGTTTATTTATTATTCTACTCTATATTAGCTTTTATTTAGTATGTTATGCTTAAACTCCAATACTATTTTTTTTTTAAACAAAAAAATGAAAAAAATAATTACTTTTTATTTAAATTTTTACTTTCAATATTTAAATTATTATAAATTATATTTAGAATTTTTTAATTGTACAATTTATTACAACAAAAAAATAATTTTCCTTGGAAATTATAATCGATTGCTATAATATCTGGAATTTTTTATTGTAATTATTTTTTAAAAAATTGTATATCAAACCTTTTGAAAAGAATCTAAATGTAAAATATTAAGCTTGAACTTAAAATCATTCAGTTTTAATTTCAATCTTCAAATACACATTTTTTTTTTTTTTTGAATAAAAATTTATATTAATCGTTGTAATATAGCTGAATTTAAAATTCCTGAGTCAACTAGGCTTTTATCATCCTCAAGATCTTTATTTGGAAAAGTTGTCATTAACTTGAACCCTTGATTACAATATTCTGGTCTAGCTCTATTTTTATAAAATTAAGGCACATAATATGATCACATTTAAATCTAATAAATTTACATACAAGTGAATATTAAAATAAAAAAAAAGATGGTTTTTTTTTTTATACCAGAGGTTGTTTAATGAGAATTTTAGGGCCTACCCTCAATCGCAGCACCATTAGTTTTAAAATTATTGTCCACGCTCGCAACATTACATGTGATATTATTTAACAGAGAGTAAATGTGTTCACAAAAATTTCAATCAACATTTTGGTCACGTTGGTTTTTAAAAAAAAAACAACTAACTCAGATGGTATTTTTAAAACGTTTTTTGCTGCAAAAAGTATGACAAGATTAATTCGTGATTGATTATGCAAAACAATAAAAGGATACACTTTAATGAATTCCCTTAACTCTGCCACGGTGTGAGTATGATTAAAAGTAGCAATCAATTTCGTACCATCCGCCAGGCGAATTTGAATGGTGGTTGTTGGCTCTGACGTATTGACATCTAGTATAGATTTTGCTTTGTCTTCATTAATTGAACGGTCTTGTTCATTAGCAGAAGTTGGAGGAGCCACAGCATTAGGAGAAGGGCTAAAATTTATAAAAATTTTCATTATTTTATTTAAAACTACTGTTTAAAATTAAAAAATATCATGACTGTCACTATGAATAAAAATATCATAATAAAAATACTGTTTGAAATCAAATTACCTTCCTAGAATTCTACCTTTTCCACTGAATGCTTTTAGTTTGGCTTTTACAGGAACATAGTCTTCATGACTATGATCCTCCATGTTTAAGTGAACTTCATTTCCCTTGGCTTCCTTAAGCAGTTCATCCGGTATTTCACTAATTTATGCAAATATCAAAAAAGAAAAAAAAAAATTTTTTTTTCAATAATAAACATAAAAAATAAATTTTAAATTTTATTTTTTTTTTTCCAGAATTTTAGCTTAACTGCTGATTTTCTAAATATTTTGTGTAAATGTATAAAGTAAAATTTATATTAAACTATATAAATCCTGTAAAAAAAAAAACTTTTAATGACCCTGAACTAACCCTCGGCTGACAATAGATAAAAATTCTTTGGTACTTGGATCAGAATATTGTCTTAAAGGTCCATCATCAATGCTGAATCCATCATGCCACATTTTAAGAGTAACATTCACCTCTTTGTGATTACTACTTGACGAAGCATTCTGGGAGGATTCTATAACTTGAAAAAATAAGAAAACAAAAAGAAATTTTTTAATTTTTATCATTAAATATTAATTGATCAAAATAAAATAATGATAATACTATCTATTTATATAAATGCTAGTTATTAATAATAATATAATCAGTAATAAAATAAAAAACTGACAAACCTTCTGAATCACTGTTTGACTGACCAAGCCTGTATCCTATTCCACTGAAAGTACTCGGTTTTTTTAGGGAATCATATTTATCAGCATCAATTACTTCAGCTCCATGTCTAAAAAATATAAACTTATTACCTATTTTACACAGATAAGATTTTAGTTCATACAATTTTTTTTTTTTTTTTTTTTTAATGATCGACAAACCTTTAAAGATGCTTTGACAAAATAAAGTATCATTAATAACAATAATATATTAAATATCAATTACTTACTCTTGAGCAGATTTAAACATTTTAGCTACTATGCTATTTTTTTTTTTTCCAGGCCCTAAAACTTGTTGGCCACTGTGCTCTGATCCTCCTGCATAAAATGCTTGACCTTCTTCTTCATCTGAACTGGTGTCTTTTTTTAAACTAGAGATTGTTGCAAACCTGAAAACATCAAAAAAATATCATTATTCGTAATAAAAATTAATGAGATAAAATAATTTGATTTATTACATATGACTGTGTGCACTAATTTTAAATGAACTTTAAAAAGAAAAACAAATCATACATGGTATTTTAAAAATCTCATAGTTTTTTATAAAGATTATTTTTTAGTAAAGATTGATAAATATTTAAAAAAATATCAACATATTTTTTTGTAATAGAAATAAGTAGTTAATCACCTGGTGTTGGTGTTGCTTCCTCTAGATAATGATTCATTAGGATTTTTTTTGGGTTTTGCACCTTTAAAAGTGGTACTTGACTCGGTTATTTCTTCAACTTCATTTTCTTCTACATTAGCGTTTGACCATTTTTCATCACTTTCCTTGTCGTAAAAACTGATAAGTGCAGCCTAAAATAAATACAAAAATTTTTAAATTGTTTTAATTTTAACAAAACACAACCTTAAAACAATATAATCGGTAAAAAAAATAAGTAACAATTAGTTTTTCGTTGTTAAAAAAACTTGGAACTTTTTACACTTTTACAAAATGCATTTAAAAAATAACCTGTAACTGCCAAGCAGCTGCCTCCAAGTACCCTCGAGCTTGGTTATTATCAACACCTGTAATATCGACGAATTGCGAAACAAGTTCATCGTAAAATTGAGACATTTTTTTCGGTAAGCAAAGGTGTTGTTAAAAACAAACAAAAAATTTACAGAAGACACCACGATTTTGACCTGTCATTGTAATAATTGGCATCGTTGTACATGTATCTATTGACACTGCATTCTTAATAAATTTACATTTTACAATTAAAAATATTTTAGTTTGTAAATTACAAATTTTTAAATTGTATAAATTGTAATTTAATCAATAACTTTGTAAAAAAAAAAAAAAAAAAACTTACTTACATTAATTCAATTGAATAATTCTAATGTTAGATATTTATTAAGAATACATTAGCCATTTAATATATTTTCGGAGAAATGAGTAATATTTATATTCAAGAACCGCCGACTTGTGGAAAGGTATTTGGTGACATTTTTATCGAGATTTTATTTTAATGAACCTAACAATATAGAAAATTAACAGAAAACACTTCAATAATTTTAAAATAACACTTACTTTTGCTCTCTTAAAATATTTCGCAAACTACGGATTCGTTGTTTTACAAGTTCATTTCTTTTTTATATCAGCATTTTCTAATTATGCCAAAATTTATAATTTAAAAAAAAAATTTTTTTTGTTTTAAAATTTAAAATTTAGTTTTTTTTTTTTTTTTTTACTGATTGTTTTGTTTTTTAAAAATTTGTTTAAATCTGCAATAAAGTTTTTTTTGTTTTCCAAATGATGGAAGTCTTAATTTTTATTTTTATTTAATTTTAATATTCATTATTAAAGGTTTTGCTTACCACAACAGTTGGTGATATAGACATTGAATTGTGGTCTAAAGAAACTCCTAAAGCATGTAGAAATTTTGTTCAACTTATAATGGAAGGATATTATGATGGTACCATTTTTCATAGAATAGTGAAAGGATTCATAGCCCAAGGAGGTGATCCAACTGGAACTGGCCAGGGTGGAGAATCCATATATGGGCAACCCTTTAAAGTAAATATGAATATTTTATTTATTTAAAAATTGTGAAAATTTACTTATTGATTTTTTTTTTTTTTTTTTTTTTTATTTAAAAACTTTTAACTTCAGGATGAGTTTCATTCGAGGTTACGATTCTGTCGCAGAGGTTTAGTTGCCATGGCAAATTCTGGAAAAAATGATAATGGCTCACAGTTTTTTTTCACATTTGCACCTTGTACAGAGCTTCAAAATAAACACACAATTTTTGGCAAAGTTACTGGGGAAACAATTTACAATATGATTAAATTAGAAGAAGCAGTGACAGATGAAGTATGGTTTTTATAATGAATGAACTAAAAGTATTAAACTGATCTCATAAATTTGCCTGATTGAGTATTCATTTTTATTTTTTATTTATTTTGTATTTATTTATTACTTATTTATTTTTTTATTTTCATACAGAATGAATGTCCTTTATATCCCCAAAAAATCATAAAAGCTGAAATATTAAACAATCCTTTTCCGGATATTGTTCCACGCTTCTTGCCGGAAAAAAAGATAAAGAAAAAAAAGAAAGAAAAAGCTGAAGCTGGGATAAAGTAAGTGTCAGACTTTCTCAAATCATAATTTACCATAATTTATGCATGCTAATGATTGATAGAATTAAATAAATTTTTTTAAATAGGAATTTTAAATTATTGTCTTTTGGTGAAGAAGCTCAAGAGGATGAGGAAGAAAACAAAGAAGCTAATTTAAATCTACCATGCAAAAGTAAATCAACTCATGATGTTTTAAATGATCCTGACCTTAGTTCTAAAACAATAATAGAAGAAAGTAATTTTTTTTCAAATGAAATTGAAACTGAGTCAAAAAGTTCTAATTTGGATGCCGCTACTGTCAAAAATAAAATAAAAAGAAAATTTGAAATTTTAGAAAAAGCAAAGAGTAAAAAAGAAAATAATGAAAAATGTGATAATCCAGAAAATGAATCTTCTGAGTCAAATGTAAATTTAAAAAAACAAAAATTGTAAGTATAAATATAAGTGACGTCCGTCGTGATTTTGTCTTGAATGAAAAATAAAAGTCAAATCAAAATTACACCGTTTAAAAATTCTAATTGACGAGATAATTAAAAAAGTCATTAAACTACAAAAAAAAAAAAACAATAATAATTTAATATAGTTTTGATTTACTTTCACTTGTGAATTTAAAAAAAAAATTAAATTAAAAAATTTTTTTAAAAATTATGTTAAAGGCAAGAAATTCATAAAGAAATTGAGTCTCTTAAAAGAGATTATCAAAAGAACAGAATAAAAAAGAATGAAGTGGTTGAACAAAGGGAAACAAAAAAAATAGAAAATGATAAAACGATGGAAAATAATGAATTGGTCAAAGAATACAAGAACAATTTGGAAAAATACAGAAATTTAAAGAATAGCATACCTAGTAAAAGAAGTGACAGAGAAAGCATGACGTTAAAACTTTTAGATGGATTCAAAAAAACATTACAAAACATAAAAGATAAAACGGATGACAAAGAAACATTTTTACATAATTCTCCCGCAGAAGCAGAAGATAAAAATGAAAACTATGATAATAAATCATGGTAAAAATAAAAAGTTTTTTTTTTTTATTACGTTTCCATAATGTATGTGTTTTTCTGATATAATTTATAATTTTCAGGTTAGCTCATAAATTGAATTTTGAAGGTGAAATGCCAGTCATTGCAAAAGACGCAAACACAAAAAATGATGATTGGTTTGATATAACAGATCCTAGAAATCCCATTAATAAACGAAGGCGGGAAAAAAAAAAATAGGTAAAGTAAAAATTTAAATTATTAATTTACTAAAACTATGAAAAATCGTTTGTAGATTAAAATTATTAATTACCTAGTTAAATAAATTTAATTAATTTTGAATTTTGAATAATAAATACAATTGGCTCGATTGTAGGGGGGGGGGCGGGGAAAACCTAAAAAAATTCAGTTTACTAAAAATCATTCAAACTTTAAAAAATCTATTCGATAATAAAATCATCACCGAGAATAAAATAAACATAAAAATGAAAACCTGAAATAAAAAACTATAAATTATTATAAAATATATATGGGAAAACAGGTACTTTGAGAATTAGAAATACATATTATATGAGATTCGATTGACGCAAAAGGGAAAAAGTTAAAGTTAATACATGTTTATACTCAAGCATTTAAAAATAAAAAAATTTGTTTTAAAATGTTTTATTTAAAAATTACAATAATAATTGATAAAAATTTCAAGTTATTAATAATTTTGTGTAATAAAAAAATTACGGTTTTTCTTTTTTTCTTTTTTTAGGATAATAAGTTTTTATTAAAAAAAAAAAAAAAAAAAAAAAAAAGTTGGACAGAATACCTTATTAAAAACAATAATTGAAATTTGTATTGTATATACATGTATATGAAAATGTGTGACTAACTAACATCAACAAACACCCGTGTACAAACAGTTTTAATTTTAAAATAGTCAAACTCTGGTCATGTTTTACTCTCAAAATTATTATTTTCTTGTAAAAGAAAAAAAGGCAGTAAAATACGGGACACAACTTTAGATACTTTACAATAAACGGTCTATAAAAAGGTAGTTTTAAAACTAGATCTAAGGCACTTATTCCGAGATTTTTTTATGCGATTTTTAAATACAATAAGACACCAGAAAAAGACACTTTTTTTTTTAACATGATAATTGCAATTTGATTAAAAATAATATAAGTAAATGATGTTGTACTATTCTACTGCAAATCCACAAGTTTCTTCCACGGCTTGAGTTAATTTTTCATACATGTATTCTTTGTACGGATAAGGAGGAATTTCAATGCGGTTAAAGCAAGTATGAGCCTTTGGTAAATTGTGAATAGGTGCGTCAATAAGGTGAATAGTAAAAAGTCGTGGACCAGCGGCACCAGTAGTACCCTGCAATGCTCGAAAACCTTGAAGTGGAACTCGAGAACTACCAGTGACAAATTGAAGTAAACGGGCTTGCATTTCATCAGAATATTTTTCAACAATTTCCCAAAACCACACCACGACAGGAGTAGTAAGTGTGCAATGTTTTAATCTCGTGTTTTGCTTCCAATCTTCAACATCAATTTTACTAATTCCACCGAGTACAAGTTCCAATTCTCTTTCATCAAATAATCTTAAAAGATTGGCCGGCACAACCTGCATATGAAAAATTTATTATTTAAAAAATCTTTTTACGAAAGCATAAACAGATATAATGTCTTGATAATTAGTTTTCTTAGAAAAAATTAAAGCAACATTTAGTATTTTAAAAATCAAAAACTACCACTACTACTCTTAGTAGTACTCGCTCGAACGCAACGCAGTAGATTTTTTTTTTTTAAATGCAAAAATACATTACACGTATATTATTTGTCTGTCCATTATCTATGATCTTGTTTTCATTTTTTTTTTTTTTTTTTTTTTTAATTTGTTAAAAAGAATAATTTATAAAAATTATTAATAAAAAACTATTAATATTTTATTCCTATTACTTTTTTTTTTTTTTTAATAGAAATATTTAAATTGAAATATATATATATATATATTAAAATAAATATTCAAGTTAATAAAATTAATTATTTACCTCAGTGAACCCCTTCAATAAAGCCAGAAATTGTTGTTCTATTCCTCTCTTGAATCTATAATTTACGTATAACTTTACATATTCTTTTTTATTTTCCTAAAAATAAATTTTACATTGTTTTACTTAATGTTTAACATTTCTTTCTTTTTTTATTAATTCTAAAAAAAAGTTTAATGTATAACCTGAGTTACAGGTATGTCTCGTCCTCCGACTTTTAACTCGTGTACTCGAAGTTCACCAAAAGCTTCGTGTTCAACTGCAAACGTGGTATCTAATTGAGTCACATCATTATGCAAAAGCCACTGTAATGATCTATGTAAATCAGGGTCAACTCCAGCAATGTCATCCAAAGTAATACTCTATTAAATTATTAATTATATTATTAATAATCATGTTTATACTCTATTTTATTATTTTTTTCTAATAAAAAATTATAATTACAAATAACGTTAATTTTTTCATTCATTATAAAACCAAGTTTTTTTTTTTAAGTACTGACCTTGCTCAAGAGCATTTTGTAAAAAGGGGTCGTAAATCCGGCGTCTATGTGGTGACCGTGAAACATGGCCGTACCCAACACCCTTCCGGCAAAATGAAAATAGCTCAAGTGTTCTGGATTCACTCCGCTATCCGCGTTAATCTTAAAATGCAATGAAAATATTATGTTAATATTAAATAAAATTTAATCCTAAGTAATAAATTAATCACAATAAAATTTATACTTGAAGAGTGTAATTATCTTCACGAGAATACTGAAAAAGTCCATATTGCGGATTAAGCATTTCTCGAGAAACGAGATACAACCACTCTCTGGCAACACCTCCATAATCGAGACCTTCTTCCCCTCGAAATTTAACTATTAATCTTTTTCTTAAATCTTTGGGTCTCATTTTCATGAGTAATCTATAAGATTCTTCGAAAATTTCTTTTCTTGAAACTTCAAGTCTACAATGTCCACTCTGGGGTTGCAAAGCATGTAATTCTGCTTTAAGCATCCGTAATTTTGAAACCAAATCTCTTTTGTATTTCGGTAAAATTTCGCCATCCAAAACAGGATCTAAAAAAAACGATAACGCAATAAATTGTATAGTGTAAGAAATTAAAAAAGAAAATATTCATTAAATGTAATGTAAATAAATTGACAACTTTTTATAATTAATTAATTTAAAAAAAAAATTATTTTCATTAAAAAGTTAAAGAACTGCCATAAAGCCCTTTCTGAAACATGTTTTTTAAAAATAAAAATTTGATTGTAATGCGATAATTAAATTAATCAGTTCCAATTTTAAAATATTAAGCTACTACTAAATACCTTCAGTTTTCACTTTGTTGTCAGCAATTCCACTATCGGAAAAAGCAACTCTTTCAATTCCTGATGTAGACGCTTCAGGAAAACTATTACTTTCAGGTAAATTATTTTTAAGATTCTGAGCCTCACTTGTTATACAATTACCATTGTTTCTTGATTCGAAAGAAACAGATTCTTCCCCTGATGCAGTACTTGGTACATTTTGATTCCGATTTCTAATAATTAATTATTTTAATTAATATCGAATTTTTATAATATTAATTATTATTATTATTTTTTGCACTTACTTTAAAAACTTATTAATGAGACTAGAAGTCAACCTTGGATCATTGAACTGGGTTGTACGGCTGTTATGATCTACAAAATATGTTCTACCCGAATGCGTTTTTCTAGCTTCCCATCCAGGTGGAAGAGGTCCCAATTCAGCTTCAGATGGGAATAAATCCCGTGGAATTCGAGGATCATGCCAGGTGCTTGTCCCCGATGGAACATGATAGAAGTATACCTGACCTTGTTGAGTAGTTCTCATTTCTAAAACAATATCTCTTGATAAAATTTAAGTATTTAATTAAATACCAACATATTATCAAAATTAAAAAAATAAAAAATATTTAAAATACATTTTTAAAATATTCAAAAAAACAAAAAAAAAAAAAAAAAAAAATTGAAAATACTTGAAAATAAATGAATTTAAAAGTCCGTAGTTAAATTTTTTTTTTAAATTGATTAAACCATAAAAGTTTTTTAAAATTTTAAAATAAAATGTGAGTAAATTTGTTATTGGGAACTGAAACTCTTACATATTTCATTATAATTAATATTATCTGTTTCCCAAAACTTTAAAAAATCCTGTTAAAAATAATTTTTTTTTAAGGGTAATTATAATTAATTACTTTTTTAAAAAAAAAAAAAAAAAAAAAAAAAAGAAACCCAATTGATATTACCGAAACCATGAGGCAAATCCACTGATTTTTGCGGCTTTTGTTGTTTATTGTTTTTGGAACTATTTATTTGCAGTTCGTTACTAGTACCAGTTTCAGCATTTTTTATTCTTGTATGCTTTCTTCTACACGAAAATACTTCTGAAATACAATTTTTTTTTTTTTTAAATTACAAAATATCAAATTTTCTTAAAAAAAAAAAAAAAAAAAAGTCAAGATTTCTTACCTGTATTGTTAGATGAATTTTTCAAATCTGATGAGGTTATCAAACCTGATTCACCACAAGGCAATGATGAACAATTAGCTAAACTAGAATTCAATGATTGATTTTGACTCCTAAAGAATTGGGCAGATGAACTACAAGAGTTTTCATCATTTGAAGAATTTACATTATCAGGTAGTTGCATTGTGTCTCCATCTCTGAAAAAATTTAAATAATTCAAATTAAAAAGTTTTATAATGATACAAAAAATAGTAATGCTCAAACTATATATATAGGTAATTGATTTTAAGTACTGTCCGTCATAAGTCATAAGTAAATAGTATATTTTTGAAAATATTATTGTTTTCAAAGGAAAATTGTTTTTACAGACATTCTAATGCACCTAAAATCTATGTTAACATTAAATATTTTTTTTCTATAACTAAAATATAATATTCCTACATTCGATATTTAAACTAAGCTCCTTCAGTTACAGAACAATTAAACAGTAAACCATTAATAACTACACTTTTATAAAATATAATTTAAGAACATAAATTTTTGCTGTAAAAAACAGGGAAAGTCGGGATAATATTCAATAATAATTAAATAAACTAAAACAACCCTTACCCTTCTCCGTTTGGTCGAATCCATTGTGTTGTTTTTGTATTGTGGTTAACATAATATAAACGTCCTGCCAAGGTTTTTCTTTCTTCCCAACCTGGAGGTAAATCTTCAGGGTTGCTTATGTGCCCAGATGAATCAACCACTGCAGTTCTATTTCCACTAACCCCATCTCTGGAAAGTAATGATACTACTATTTGCCCTTTTACAGGTTCCGGATCATCAGCTTTTGCTTTACACAACTCTAAGCATTGATCTGAAAAATAAATATTAATATTAATATAAACATAAATATTGCAAAAGATTATAATCAAAAGAAAAAACACAAAAAAAGATGTTACTATAATGATAAATAAAATTAACTTTTTTTGAATTTTCATTTGAAAAAAAAAAAAAAAAAAAAAAAAAATTGGGGTTTTTTAAAAAAATATTTTGGTCTAATAAAATAAATTTACAAATTGAATAAATGAAAATCAAGTGATATAAAAATAAAGAAATAATTTTTGACAAAAAAAATTTTCAACTTCAAAATAATACACATAGTTTCACATGCTACTCAAATGTGTCACAATCTTAAAAATTAAAATTCCCCCCCCCCTTTTTAAACAGATTTATTAAATAAAATGCAATTTATAATAATAATAAAAAACATTTAATTTAATAAAATAAGAGTAAATTCTTGATACACAAAAATATGAAACTTTTTTTAAAAATTTCCAACAAGGATACTTACAACCTGTATCTCTAAGTCTTTGAACTGCACTTGCCGCAATTCGTACACAACCTAAAAATCCTCCACCATGTTTTTTATGAATTTTTTTATGATTCCAAACACTGATTGTGATTCCATCACATTTACCAATATACCTGCAAATTGTAAATTTTAAATTTGTAGTTGAGTTTAATAGATAAAAAAATAAACAAGCATATGCTGGCTGTTTAAAATTATTTCCTAAAATTTTAATATACTTTAACAATATTTCTCTGATTTCTTATAGTTACCTAACAAGACCTAATTAATTAATTTATTACTTAACAATGCTGCTTTATTTATTAAATTAATAAAAACCGTAAAATCTTTTAAATTTAAAATTTAAAATACATAGTAGTTTAAAATCTAAAATCAGAGTAGAAAAAAAAAAAAAAAAAAAATTATTATTTATATATGTGTGTGCATAAATTTAATAAATCAAATTAATCAATATTAAATTATTCACCTAATTTATAAATACTCACAAATCATAATGTTGGTTCCATTTAGGATCAAGAGTTGCTCTGCAAACTTCAGTGCTGTGACATTGTCCAGATCCATCAACACTAATTTTTGCAAAAGGATCGGGTAATCCTTAAAATTAATAAAATGCTTAATAACAGTGGTATGTAATTGTTATTTTAAAATTATTGATAAACACATTGGTACTTACTAAATAGACCTTTCCTGGCAAGGTTTCGAGCACAAAGAACTAAAAAATAAGAAAATTTATTATTTTAGTATTATTATTTTTAATAAAATGTAATGTTATAACAATCCACAATTTTCTTTCAAATTATGTAACACAATGGCTTAATCTAACTAAAATATAAATAGGTATTTTTCATGTAGTGGTATTAAAAATCTCTACAGAATTCATTTGAAAAACAATATAAAATAAAAACAAATATATTTTAGTCATAGAAATTAATTAATTAATGATGAAGTAAGATTTTAAGCAAAAAAAAAAAAAAAAAAAAAATTTTCAAAAATAATAAATTTTAAAGGAATTATACTTACTAGTCAAACGAACTTTGATTGTATTATTAGGTCGATTATTAGCTGAGTTTAACATTTTTTTGTAATTTTAAAAATCTGAAGTTGATTTAAATTTTAAAGAAGTAACAACAAAAACTAAACACAAGAAATCTTCGACGTAGAGCTCATTATCATTTTTAGGCTTAACATTTAGCAGTAGAGTAATTAATAATGTTTTTTTGAAGGCACTCATAAAATTTTTAAAAAATCTTCAAATCAATAATTATTTATTTTAAAATAAATTTACAAATAAAACTAGAAGTAATATTAAAAACCGGCCATACGAAAGCGTTATAATTATATATATATATATATAAATATATACATATATATATATGTACAATCACTGAAAAACAGAAAACTCCGCCATGATCAACAAAAACGTTCACTTGAGTGGACTATATTTTTCCTTTGAGTTCATTCTTGAATTTTTTACTTATGGTACCCCCTTATTTGAGACACCAGATTTAGAGATGCCGTTTGTTGTAGACTAATGTCTTTGTACTTTTCGCTCTTTACTATGTTGTATTATGAATTATTGAACTGTAATGATTTTATAATTTTTTTTTTTTTTTTTGTTTAAATGTAACATTGGTTAAAAAAAATGCTTTGTTGCATTTTTAGTATCAATGTTACAGATCTAAAATTTTGCTATGACGATATTTAATTTTTTTCTGATATTTACGGTAATTTATTCTGGCATAGCTGACCGTCATTTCGATGACGAATATCTTGCAACGCTTAGGTATTGTATTTATAGAATATTTTTTGATTTTGTATTTTTAAAACAATGAAACTTTTAACCTATTTACGTGGCATTTATTTTTTATGATTTTGTTATTATTAACATTATGACTATAATTATATATGATGAGTTAAAAGTTGCAAAAAAAATTTTAGGGAAGAAGTCCGACAAATGTTCAATCATGCTTATGATGGATATTTGAAATATGCTTTTCCGTTCGATGAATTGAGACCATTAAGTTGCGATGGAGTCGATACTTGGGGAAGTTATTCGTTAACATTAATCGACGCGTTAGATACGCTTGCCGTAATGGGAAATTTTACGGAGTTCAGAAGAGTTGTTAATATACTTATTAAAAATGCAGATTTTGTTAAAAATAACATAAACGTGTCTGTTTTTGAAACAAATATCCGAATTATTGGTGGATTGTTAAGCGCTCATCTGTTATCTCAAAGGTACTTAAAAACTTATACTAAGGTTGTTCATCTCTTATAATTTTAAAAGTTCTTTATACTACTCTTTCAAAATAAAATTGATTATCAATCAGTAGAGACATATTTGTTTGGATCTTAATTAAAATAAATTAAATGTGTATTTAAAAAAGTTATTACCATTTTTTAAAATTTAATTTAAGAGCTCCTGTTTAGGGCAGGCATTGTTGTTGAAGAAGGTTGGCCTTGTAATGGACCATTGTTAGAATTAGCTGAAAATGTTGCTCATAGGCTAATTGCTGCTTTTGACACAACTACCGGAATGCCGTATGGTACAGTAAATTTACAAAATGGTGTGCCTCATAATGAAACTACCATAACCTGTACCGCAGGAGTTGGAACATTTATATTAGAATTCAGTACTTTGAGTCTTTTAACTGGTGATCCTATATATCAAGAGGTATTTTTTTAAAAATAAAATATATTTAAAGTAAACTGATTTTTTTCTGTAAAACTTGATGATTGTTCACTAAGACATTTTTAAATCATTTAATATATACAAAATCTGATACTTGATTTGTTTTTAGCTTGCTATGAATGCTTTGTTAGCTTTATGGCACCATAGATCGAGTATAGGTTTGGTCGGAAATCACATTGACATTCAAAGTGGAAGGTGGACAGCTCATGATTCTGGTATTGGAGCAGGAGTAGACTCTTACTTTGAATATCTTGCAAAAGGTGCTTTATTGCTGCAAAAACCTGAATTGATAAATATGTTTTTGGAATACAGAAAAGTAATTTTCAAAAATAAACATTCTTAAAACAAACAACAGTATATAAAATTGGGCAAAAATGCAATTTATATTTTTCAATTTCAGATGATAAACAAATATTTAAAAACTGATGATTGGTATATGTGGGCTTCAATGTCAAAAGGACAAATTTCTTTGTTAGTATTTCAATCTTTAGAAGCCTATTGGCCTGGAGTGCTTAGTTTATTCGGGGATACCACAGAGGGACTTAAATCATTATTTAATTATCATCAAGTTTGGGAAACAGTATGGTTTTACTCCTGAATTTTATAACATACCGCAGGTATTTTTAAATTTTAGTTATTCCTGTTTTTGTTAAAATTTATGACATTAACATTAAAAGAAAAAAAATTTCATTTAAAATTTTTATAAATTTAATCCCTGGGATAAAATTATTTTTAATTTTCTGTCCTGTAAATATGTTTTATTTTTTATTTATAATTTATCATAGTTTATAGTTTTTATGGTTGTTATTTTTTCAGAGTTTATTAGAATTATTTCTATTTTGCACTTCAAAAAAAAAAAAAAAAACCTGTTTTTGAGTTTTAATTGTGTAAAAAGTTAGTTTATTTGAATATAAAAAATATAAATTTTATAATTTTTTTCTCCAGAATGAAGCTGGTGTTCACAGAGAAAGTTATCCTTTGAGGCCAGAACTAATTGAATCTGTTATGTATTTATACAGAGCTACGGGAGATTCATATTTGTTAGAAGTGGGAGAGGATATTCTTAGAAGTATTCAACATAGTTCTTACACACCTTGCGGTTATGCTACTGTAAGCTTAATTTTTTTTCTTTTTAACTCAATAGGGAAGGTTGATGTAATTTAAGTAATTATAAATAAATATTCAACTTTAAAAATTCTGATATAACTCATCGTTACTTTACATAATCATAACAAAAAGATTTTCTTATTTCAACTTTTTTTTTATAGATAAAAGATGTTCGAGATCATCGTAAAGATGATAGAATGGAATCGTTTTTTCTTGCCGAAACTACTAAATATTTGTATTTATTATTTGATTATGACAACTTTATGCATAACAACGGACAATTTGGTAGCGTATTTAATACTCCGTGGGGAGAATGTATTATAGATGCTGGCGGATATATTTTTAATACTGGTAAATAAAAAGAAAATTTTTGTTATCTTTAGTTAAGAATTTTTAATTTTTTAATACTAATTTAATGATTTTAGAAGCTCACCCAATTGACACAGGTGCTTTACATTGCTGTAGTAAACAATTGCAAGAACATGTACGTGATACAATCTTAGATTTTGATCCTGATTCTTCGAGCGGAGTAAAACTTTCTGTTCACAAACAAAAAATGATGGATAAATTAAAACTAAACGTTGCAGAAAAAAAGAAACGGTTTCAAAGTCAAGAAAATGTTTTAAATGGTTTTTTACATTTTTCGCAACTAATTTAATTTATACATTTTTTAATTTTATTTTTAAATTAAAATTATCTTACAAATTTTAATCATTTCTATTTTAGAAAAAATAAAATCAGAAATTATAAATGAAGTAAAATTACCCATTTCTAAAGTTGAATCGGAAAATGAAGATGAAACACATGCGAGTCAAACGTCTTATGATGTACCATTGGATAACCCTACATTGAATAATTTAGAAAAAAAAGAAAAACTCCAAGATTATTTAGTGGATGAAGATCATTTAAATTCAAGTGGATTTTATGTGGACGGTGTAAATATAAATTTTTTATTTAAATAAACGTTAAAACAGAATCTGCGATTGTTAAATTTTAAAAATATTTTTCAACAAATTACAAGAGCAATTATTATTTCGTATCAGCAATATATTATTTACTTTGACATAAGCATCACGTCTACGTAAAATTAAATTTTAAATATGTTCTATTCTAACATTTTCATCATGATGTAATAACCATTAAATTATTACCTTCATGGTAATTTTTAAAAATAAAAATAATTAAATTAATTTTATGTTTTTTAGTTTGACAGTACAGAAGTTTCAAACCGATTTTCTTATAAATTGAAAAATTCTAAAGATGAAGAAGACAAAATTAACTTGTCTTCCTTGCTGGAATCTTTTTTTTATGATGAAAAAAAGCGAACTTTTGAACCTCAAGTAAGTTTTCACCGTTAAAATTTTTAAAAATTATACCATTTTTTTTTTTTTTTTTTTTTTTCATTATTGTAATGAATTATTATTATTTTATTATAGCTATTAATAGAAAAAATTAGAAAAGAGAAAAAATATTTCAAAAACGTTACATGGGAAGCTCAATATCATTTACTTAGATGCCACGCTCAACCTTTTTTAACTCGAGTATCATTAAATGGAGAATTTTATACAGATGTGTAATTTAAATCAAATACGATTTTACAAATTAATCTTATAAATTTTACTTCTAAAACTATCGCAGTTAATATTCACATAATAAATTTCATTTATTATAAAAACCGGAGTTAACATGATTTATACAAAAATTACTGTCTATTGTCAAGTATAACGTGCTATGAAATGTTAAAGTCGTAAATTAAAATTTCATTTCGTGTTTTTTTTTTTTTTTTTTTTTTTGATTTATCAGTACTCGTTATTAAAAAAATAA